CACACAAATTTACCCAAAATTAAGCCCTGGACAAGAGTTCTAAACCTATAGGAATGGGAGTGGTGGGTAGGCTAGGGAACATTCCTCTACAATCACCAAACCCCAGAAATCAAGGTTCTTAGACTCTTATTGGCCAAATCTAGAGCCCAGGTTCTGGTACTAGCTGATAGTTCTGCTGTGTCTCTCTCAAGGCTATGTAACCAGCTAGGGAGTAGGAGAATATCCAGATGGGTCCAAACATGGACAGAGAGAACTGGAAGGAGGATGGGAGAGATGCAGGCACTGTATCTCTGGATGTGGATCCTTCTGGTGAGCTTAGGCTCCTCATCTAGTAGCTTGGACATGAGATGCTCTTTGTAGGCCAGGATGTCTCCAGACCACTGTCAGCTTTTCACAGAGCCAAGTTTCTGGTACAACTTGTTAAGTGAAGTCATTGCTGATGAGCATCATACCAGCCTCAAACTCCTTGACGGCATTTGCCAGTGTGCTATGGTTTCCATGACCAAGTAATTTGTGGGCTTGCCCAAGAACAGCACAGGAGAGGTTTTTCCAGGCCAGTGAGGACATACATACCTGACACTTCTGACAAGTTCTGGAGTGGACCACCTTTTGTTTCCCAGTGAGACATTATCACCCAATTACCTTCATCTCCTCCTCCTTGATTCTGGATAGCACTTCGTTGTGTACTACAATGGTGAGAGATCCAAGTCCATCCTTTTCCTGCAAATGCTGGTAGTAACACCATATTTTTATTTTTTATTTTGCTGGTACTGGGGTTTGAACTCAGGGTTTGGAGTTTTTCACTCAAGTCCGGCACTCTACCATTTGAACTGTAGTTTCACCTCTGGCTTTTTGCTAGTTAATTGGAGATAGGAGTCTCATGGACTTTTCTTCCCATATTAGTTTCGAACCAGAGTCTTTAGTTCATCTTTCAATCACACAGAAGCATTTAGGTCCCAGTGATTTGTGGGGTCCCCCTGGAGCAGGGTGAAGGGCCAATAAAGTGGGCTCTGGCAAGGACAACCCTCTTTCTCCAGCTCCACTGAAATCTTTTAGCTTTTTATGCTGCATGGCAGGTGTAAAACCTAGTCTGTGCAAAATCCACAAGGATTTGCCACATTTCTGCCTAGTTGGGATCCAGTTTCTTCAATGTGTGTAGAGTCTCACAAGCTTCCCACACCCACAACTGAGCTAGCGGCTCAGCATGCCACTCAGCAGCTAGCTCTCAACCATGACAAGTGAGGGCGAGGGTGACCGTGTGGATGTCAGCACTGTTGGGGTGAGATGCCCTCTGTGACAGCTGAGTAGCAGCTCTTTTCTTTTATCTTTCCCCCCATTCATGTGCTGGTTGAGGGCTTGAACTCAGGGCCATGTACTGCTGCTCATCGTTAGTGCTCTACCATTTGGGAAGGATCTCCTGCACTGCTTTTTGGTAGTTACCTTGTAGGTGGAGTCTCACGGACTTTTCTGCCAGGGGTTGGCTTTGAACTGAGATCCTCAGTCTCCTGAGTAGCTACGATTACAGGCCTGAGCCACTGGCACCAGGCTTAGGAGAAGCAGCTTTCCCCAACTCAAGTCCTCTAGCTCCTTGGTCAGCAAAAGCCACTTCTGTGATCTCTCTGCCTGCCTCCTGGGCTGGTCAGGGGGCATGGCGATGACCCACAGGGAGAGTTTCGTTGTTCTGGACCTGGGCCTCTCTCCATTGGCCAACAAGCTTTCTCACTGAGTTAAGTCCCTGGAAATCTCAGCAGGCTATGCAGAGAGCTGTGTCGGTAGCTCATTTCTTTTCATTGCTTATGATGTTCTGATCCTGCATATATTAACCTAGAAACGTAGCAAGAATGTGGGCGGCCATCCTCACTTCTCAATCTTCCTTCCCGGTCACCCACCCCGGTCTGCCTCGGTGAACCCGGGTGAGGAAATGAGGAAGCATCCCGGCTGCGGGCGGGGCGGGGCGGATCTCCAGGCCGGGCCGGGGCGGGGCTTGACTGGTGGGAGTGGCGATGGGCGTGGCAAGGGCGGCCGGGGTCCCATCCCTGGGAGCGCAGCCGCAGAACCGCCCAGTGGAGGTCTGGGAGTACGCCACGGGCCGCGCGGGGTCGCGGACCGAGCTCCTCCTCCAAGCGCAGGTGCGCTCGGGTCCGATGCCTCCGAGGGCCCTCTCTGTCCGAGGGTGAGTGTCCCGCCGGCTGGGCACCTGGGGTGGGGTGGGGGGGAGGAATTGTAAAGCGGAAAAGATTGAGAAAGAAACTTGCCAGCCCGAGTGGACGGGTGTGCCGGGGGCTCCTCGTATCTCCGACCTTGGGCTGTTTAAAACAGACCCCCCGAGCGCTACCCCATGCTAGGCCCAGCCAGGGCTCATCATGAACGGTCTCATTGAATCTTCACCCAACCCTGTGAAGAAGGAGCTGGTATTAACTGCATACTTACAGAGAAGAGCGCCAGATTACCTTTACCGCTATTTGGCTCTTCCTTCAAAGACTGGGGCAGTTGAAGGGGAGGGGGGTGGGGAGGTGTCAGCTTGTTTAACTATTAACTTATCTGAAAATGCAAGATCTGTAACCTTTAGTCTCCGAAAAACCCAGCCAAACGGAAGGGAGATGAGCATATTTAAGTCACACAGGCTTCTAATGGAGCTGTGTATAGTAGGGGGCGGGGACGGGGGAGGAGCAAGAGGAGGGACCTAAGTGTCCAGAAGTAGGAAAATAGATACAAAAGGGCAGACAAACAATGGTGTAACTACACAACGAAAGTCTATAGACAGAAATGTTAGCAATTCCTGCCTGAGGCCTGACCTTGTGGAAGGAGGCATAGTGTGGCAGCATCATGAAGCAGAGGCAGATGCCAATGAAGATGAAATTGCACATATGTCTAAAATTCAGATCATAGCTGATGCAATATATTGTCTAATAGCCACACATGGCCAGTTTTTTCCTGTAGCTCTGGGTAGGTGCATGGGGAAAAAAACAAACAAACAAAAAACTGTGGATGGAATGTACCTGAGGGTGAAGAGCCTGTCTTGGAGATATTCTATTATTTTGAACCAGTCCCTGACTTCTGGGGCTTCTGTGTCTTGTTATCTAGACTTGGGTAAGATGCAGAGTCATGAACTCTAATACCTCCAGTGTCCATCAAGTGTAACTGTGTGAACCGGACCAAGGGAGACAATAGTGAGGCCTGAGGTGCTGCAGCATGGCCTCAGCACATTCAAATGAAAGCGTTTGATCCACACCAGCATATTTTTGGGCCCTCACTTTGGGAATCTCAGGATAAGTATTCCCTAGGTCTGTAGTGAGGATAAAGATAAAAGGGGCCATATCACTGTCCTGTTTCTGAGGCTTCTGTTGCTATCTGTCAGGCTTAGTGTAATAGCTTTCTTACACTATGAAGTCTGCTTAATATAACTCCACACTGTTCTCTGCACACATATCTCACCCCCAGCTCTTATTTTTCAGCCACACTCTCCCCACGGAGGCTTCCTTGCTGTTATGCAAACTTCCAAGTCATTTCCCAACTCAGTCCTTACCCTTTTTGGGGGGGGGCAGGGTGTCAGCCATGGGGCTTGAACGTCGGGCCTGAACACTGTTCCTCAGCTCTTCAGCTCAAGGCTAGCACTCTACCACTTAACACACTGAGCCACTTCAGGTTTTCTGAGTGGTTTATAGGAAATTAGAGTCTCACAGCCTTTCCTGCCCGAGCTGGCTTTGAACCGAGATCCTTAGATCTCAGCCTCCCGAGTAGCTAGGATTACAGGTGCCACTGGCACCTGGCTTCAGTCCTTACTTTTCTTTTTCTTTTTGCTAGTCCAGGGGTTTAAACTAAGAGATATACCCTCTCCATTGGCTACACCCCACACATCCAAGGCTAACACTCTGCCACTTGGGCCATAGTTCTACTTCTGGCTTTTGGGAGATTAACTGAAGGTAAGAGTCTCATGGACTTTCCTACTCAGGCTGGCTTGGAACCACGATCCTCAGATTTCAGCCACCTGAGTTGCTACAGATATGAGCCACCGGTATCCAGCCTTACTTGCTTATCTCTCTGGACCCATTTCCCCAGGTTTTTACATGGCTGGATCTATATCTCTATTCACTTTCCATGCTGATTCAGGGACCTCTTCTTGAGCCTCCTTTCTAAAATGATTCTGCTGTTTAGCTGCTAACATATCTTTTTTGATCATCATGTTTCACTGTCACCACTGTCATTAGTATTTATCACTCTCTGTTTTCTTTGCTGCCTGTTTATTATCTCTCTGTCCCAAAGAGTAGAAACCCCTCTTCAGTACAGTTTTTCTCATCTCTAAAGCCTGAGCACCTGGTGCACTACCCAGCCACAAGGAGCCTTCTACTTCCTGGCTATTGCTAATAATGCTTTTAGGGACACGGGCAGATGAGTGGTTCTTTCAGACCCTATTTTCAATTTGTTTGGGTGTATAACAAGAAATGGAATTATGAGATTCCATAATTACTTAGCTTTTAATTTTATTGTCCTTTTTTGGTGGTACTAGGGTTTGAACTCTGAGCCTCTTAAGCAAGAGAGTGGTGTGGCCCTATTTATCTTTAGAAAGGTTCTTGGCCCTACTGCAGACTTAAAGAATACTCATCCCAATATTCTCAAAGTGAGGCCTGGAGGCATCCTGATAAGGATCACATGCTTTCATTTAAATTTTTAGGCCTTCTGTGTATTCTTTAGTGCTCTACCTCTTGAGTCACACCTCTAGTCCTTTATAGTTTTTGGAGGAGCCTTGGCACTATGCTGTTTTCTGTAGTGATTGCACCATTTTACACACCCCTTCCCAGAACAATGATAAGGTTCCAGTCTCTCCTCTTCCACCAGCACTTACAATTTCCTGGCTTAGTGGTAGTAGCTACCACTGGAATAGCTTTGAAGTGCTAGCTTATTTGGTTTGGGTTTGGGTTTCCCAGATAACTGCTTTTATTGAGTATCTTTTCATGTGCTTCTTTGTCACTTGTATATCTTCTTTGGAGAAAAATCAGTCCAGATTTTTGCCCATTTTGAGTTGGCCTTGGTTTTTTATTACTGTTGAGCTTCATTACTTGAGCTCTACCCCTCCCCTGGCATTGGGAATGAGTTTGTTTGAGGTACCTTGTTTCCCAGAAAGAACTCCATTAATGGCTAAGGCATTTTATAGAGAACTAATATTTCCCCCAAATCCTTTGTAGGGAGGGAATGAACCCAGGGCCACATTGCAATGCTAAGCACATGCTATACCACTGAGTTCTCCCCCAGGCACATATACAGACACCATAGATAGACATCTTCCTTTGACTACTGGGCCCATCCAGTGACTTTGTTGATGGGAAGGTTGAAGCAAAGAGAAGTAGAAGGACTTGCTGCAGGTTTCAACAGTGACAAAGAGTGCTGGAATCTGGACCAAGACCTTCTGACATGGAAGTCTCCACTGGCCCAGGCTCCTTCATAGAGGCACCTTTTCAGACTTTGGCGAGAAACCAGATCTAAACTAACTCGCCCATTTGCACATAAAGCAAAAAGGCCTAGTGATCTCAATACCACTCCATGGCTTTCCCAGCAGTAATTAGGAAGTTCAGGTGCTCAGCAGTGTTTGGTGGCCTGTTAGCACCCCTCCCTTTCATCTCTTCAGTCTCATTTATTAGCTAAAGGGGAAGCCCTGGGGCAACAGGAAGTCTGAGAAGGTACATCTCCTGCTCTTGCCCATGGCTTGTTTCTCAAATGTGGCTGGCTTCACAGAAGGTTCTCCTAGAAAAAAAAAGTCAATACTGATTTTAACATGGTACATGGTTGGTTCCCAAAGGCCCAAATCTCTAGAGGATACCTTGCACCCCTTGTGTAACTGTTTTGTTTGATATGTTTGCATGTTCTTTGAGAAGCAACAGCTGAGGCCTGTACTAGATATAACATCCTCACCTCTGTTTCTGTCCCCTAGGTTTCTCCTGTAGGTTGCTGTAGGAGGAGAGTGACTGTACCTGAAGCCCAGCCACTACACCGAATCAGAGAGAGGCTCCATCTTTTTCCAACATGGCAGGTGATGACTCCAAATGGGGGAATCAGACTTTTAATCAAATTGAATCCATCCTTTGTTATTACAAAAAATCCAAAAAAAGGAGTGTATGAAACACATTTGATGAACAACATGGATCACTATATGGAATTATCTTTTGTTTTCCTTTGACCTCCTCCAGAATGTGCTAAGTTCCTTACAAGTGGAGCCTACTCCCACACTGTCTTTACCCTGCTGCCTGTCCCTGAATCATCCTTGAGATTTAGTGGCTCTTCCAAAAATAGATGTTGAGATGGGAGTAGAGGTGCATGCGTGTAAGCCCAGCTACTCAAGAGGAGAGGTAGAAGGATTGAAAGTTGGAGGCCAACCCCAGGGAAAGTTATCAAGACTCATAAACAAAATAAAAAGCAAAAGGATTGGGAGTGTGTTGCAAGACCTCCATGTGTGAGGCCTGAGTTTGGTCTCCAGCACTGGGGGAACAACAACAACAAAGCTGTTGAGCAGAAAATCCCATCCTTCCTTTCTTTTTGGTGCTAGGATGGAACCCAGGCCTCATAAGTATTCTTGCACTGAGCTACATGCACAGCTCCATCTTTGCTTTTGTGTCTGTATATCACATGCACATACACAATATAGTTTTGCAAACTATTTTCTGTTTTACTTGATAATGTAACATGGAAATACTTTCATTTTAGAATATATAGATTCTCCTTACATCATAAGTTATAGTGTAGATTTGGGTTTTATACCCTTGGCACCAGATAATCTTCTGTTGCAGGGGTGGAGGGGTTCATCTTGTGTCATATAGGGTGTTTAGCAGTTGGCAGTGTCCCTGAACTTTACCCACTAGATGCCAGTAGCAACACCATCACCAACCTCTGTGCCAATTGTGAGCTCTAGACAAATGTCCCCAGTTGAGAAATATACATGTATGTATTTAATTTGTACCCATTCTCCTGTTAAACCCCAAGATAGAACTCTTACAGGGATGGGCAACATCTAGAAAGGCTCTCGAAATCATTTGGTATATGACAGGACAGATACGTATGCTTCTTGTATGCTTCTGGTGAGTTATTCATGGATGTCTGCCTAGACTGATCAATTTGTGTGGCCCATGAATGAGGTTATAGATATTCAAATGGCCCTTGGCAGACCAAAAGGTCCTCTACTCCCACCTAACACTGGAGTCTGAGGAAGTAAAATAAAATTAAATAACTCAATCTTTACATTCAGCTGACTGCTCTGAAATTGTTTGCTGCCAGCCAACAAGTGCATTTTCTCCTCTAGACTGAAACATTTAAATTTAGAGTTTAACATTTCAGTCTTAGATATTATCAGTACAAATCACCAAACTTCTTACTTACAGAATTTAGTCCATGATTCCACAGGCTGTTCTGAATGAGGAAGACTGCATCAGAGGTCACTGGTGCTCATGATACTGCCAGTGCATCTCACAGGGACCAGTGGGTCAGATTCTTTTTTTCTGGGAGGGTCAGGTTTCCATGGACCTGGAGCAGTTGGAAATAGAATAGAATGTGTTAGAAGGGTACCTGACAAGAGAGGGTTGGTGTAAAAGATTTAATTCTAGTAGTCTAAATTTTGTTGCTAGGGAACAGACTAAAACTTCTCATTGAGGCATCCAAATTAAAATAGCAAACTGTGTGGGGAGTGTGCTTGTTCTGGAGCTATACACAGGGCTGGGTACTGTATCTTAATTTTTTTGCTCAAGGCTGGTGCTGTATCACTTGAGGATAGCTCACTTCTGGATTTTGGTGGTTAATTGGAGTTAATCATGTTCTTGTCCATACTGACTTCATATCTTGGCCTCCTGAGTAGCTAGGTGCCTAGCAGAACAGGCTTTTGAGGATATTATTGTGAAATTCTTTCCCTTTGAGGAAACATTATTTAGCCCTGTGTATTTATGTGTATAGGTTGAGCATCATTAATCCCAAAAATAAAAAAAATTATTTCAGCACATGACTCCAAAAACTATAAGAATCTAAGTTTTGGATTCTGGAGTATTTCTGATTTCAGGTTAGGGATGATTTTCCCTCAAATCTATGCAAATATTCTAAAATCTGAAAGAAAAAAAGCCTTAAATCTAAAATTATTGTACTAAGTATGAGCTATGATATCACTCACTGGATGAAACAACATTCATTATTTTAAACTATCCCTGTAGAAAAGTTTGGCATTTCCTTAGCCTCTGCTGTAATGATGAATCTAAAAATTTAATTTTATTTCAATCTATAGTTTGGGGTTCTTTTTGGCGGCACTGAGGTTTGAACTCAGGGTCTTGTACTTGCTAGCATTCTACCATTTGAGTCATGCCTCCATTTTTTGTATGCATTAGTTTATTCTTCAGGTAGAATCTCGTGCTTTTGCCCAGTGCTGGCTTCAGACTACAATCTTCTCATCTCTGCCTTCTAAGAGGTTATGCCACCACACCTGCCCTACACTGATTTTTGACCAAAAGGACTGGCTTTTTAGACCTTTTCTTCCCCTGATGTAGGTAAGAAAGTGCTCATCATCTATGCACACCAAGAACCCAGATCCTTCAATGGATCCCTGAAGAAAGTAGCTGTGGAAGAACTGAGCAAGCAGGGCTGCATGGTCACCGTGTCTGATTTGTATGCCATGAACTTTGAACCAAGAGCCACAAGGAAAGATATCACTGGTGAGTCATGGTATAAATGCTGCATTAAAATTCTCTTCTTTGTTTTATAATTTTAAATTTTTTTGAATTCTAATTGTTGCTTATGGCATATGAGTCTCAGGCCAAGAGATCACTGTGCCAGATTCTTTCCCATACCTGCCTCTAGCCACCCAATTTCTCTGTTCCTAAAGTTTCAGTTTTCTCCATTTCCTTCAGTTATATCTGGGCTATGATAGTGTTTGTCAGCTTTCTTAGCACTGTGACCAAACACCTGGCATAAGCAACTTTTAGAAAGGAAAGATTTATTTGGGCTCATGGTTTCAGTCCATTATGGTGAGGAAGGCATGATCCAGCAAAGCAGTTCATATCATGGTGGCAAGGACACAGAGAAAAGAAGGCAGAGAGTGCAACCAGACACAACCCCCATGGATATGTCCCCAGTGTCCTACTTCCTCCAGCCAAGCCCAAAGTTAAAGTTGTTAAAGTTGTTAAAGTTGTCAGAACTTCCTGAAATAGCACCACTGGCTGGGGACCAAGCCTTCAACAATAAGTCTGTAGGGGACATTACAAAATCCAACCATGACAAGGATATTTTCCATTTCCCTCTGCATTTTACAAAATCAGTACTCTATTATATTGTTGCCTTTTGCACATTGCCTTTTCTATTTACTAAGCATTCTATTGTATGAAGTAGTCCTCCAATGAAGGGAATTTTAGGTTGTTTTGATCCTTAGCTATAGCAATGCTGTTATAAGTAATGCTGTAATGAAGTCGGCTGTATTTGTTTTCTATGTACCCAAGAGTGTCTGAAAGTGGAATTGTTAGTCCAAGGGAATCACTTTTTTTTGGTCAGTCATGGGGCTTGAACTCAGGGTCTAGGTGCTGTCCCTGAGTCTTTTGCCCAAGGCTAACATTCTCACTTGAGCCATAGCTCTACACCCAATATTCTAGTGGTTAATTGGAGGTAAGAGTCTCATGGACTTTCCTGCCTGGGCTGCCTTTGAGTCCTCAGGTCTCAGCCTCCGGAGTAGCTAGGATTACAGGCTTGAGCCACCAGCGCCCAGCTAGAAATCACATTTTTACTTCCCATAGATCCTGAACCAGTTGGCATTCACATCACCAATGTTTGCACATGTGCTCATTTCCTTTTTCACCAACAGTGTTACCAAGTTTTTGACAATTGCAAGTCAAGTATGTGAAAAATTGCCTTCAGATATAGTTCTAATTTTGCCTTGCTTTCACTGTATCTTATTATTTTTGTGCCAGTATTGGGGCTTAAACTTAGGACGTGGCCACGGTCCCTTAGCTCTTTCACTCATGGCTGAATATCCACCACTTGAATTACAGCTCCACTTCTAGCTTTGGAGATAAAAGACTTCTGGACTTTCATGTTTGGGCTGGCTTTGAACCATGATCCTCAGATCTCAGCCTCCTGAGTAGCTAGGATTATATGAGCATCCAGTGCTTGGCTAATATCTTAATATTTTATATTCCATTTATTTATATTAAGTATTTTCTACAACATATAATATTTTAGACAATATTAAATATCTTCTTTCTTGTGAATTATCTGTTCATACCCCTTGTATATTTTTCTCTTAGGTTGTATTTTTATTACTAATTTTAAAGAGCTTTTTATATGTTAAGTATTAGCCTATTATTTTGGAATATGAATTGCAAATAGCTTTTACCAAAGTTTAAATTTTATTTCAATTTTGTTTATCGTGATTTCTTTTTCCCTGAAAGATTTTACTTTCTTTTTGTTACTTCATTTTGTTACTTATTTGGGTTTTTAAAATTACTTTTTCCTTGCTTTGAAACCTAGATTTTATGTAATATGAACTCCTCTAAGATTATTTATAAAAAGTTTTGTAGTTTCTCATAGCATTTGACAAGTTCAGCACTTTAAATGTTTTATCTGTTGTGAATTTATTTTGGTGCATGATGTAAGCTGTGGGTCCAACTTTTTAAAAATACATTTTTATTGTAAAAATACTATACAGAGGGGTTACAGTTACATGAGCAAGGTAATGAGTACATTTCCTATCAAGCATTGTTACCTCCTTCTCTGATTTTCCCCTACCATCCCTTCCCTCCCACCTCCACAACTATACTTCCCCCCACCCCCCAAATTGTAAAGTTCATTTTCAACATAGTGTCTTGTACATCTCATTGTTACAATGGGTCAACCTGTATCCCTAGTTAAGCATTTTGTTTTTTCCCTTACCCTCCCCAAATTAGAGAACTTTATATACAAGATGCAGGGCACCGACATGAAATACAGTGAAAATAGGTGTTATACCGTTGGGGAGGAACATACAAAGAAACAAAAAAATCACATGGTACATTATAAATATGTTAGAAACAGTAGCAAGAAAGAAAAAACCACTTGTGTCCCTGTCTTGGGGTTCACTTCATTTAACATCATCTTATCTGGTTATATGTGCAGAGCTTTTGACTTTTTCTGCTTGTCCTAGTCATATACTTGTTATTGCAAATAAGGAAAACCATGGGACCTATGTTTCTTTGGGCCTGGCTTACTTCACTTAATATAATTTTTTCCAAGTTTTTCCATTTTCTAACAAATGGGGTGATGTCATTCTTTTTGTTGGAGACATAGAATTCCATTATATATACATATATATATACATATATATATATATATATATATATATATATCACGTTTT